CCTGAACAGCTAAACTATCCTATATAATAAAAGGCTAATATGCAAATCGACCAAACAACAGAATGACCATTCATTCTGATGCAGACTGACCACCAGGGTGCAGACGCTCAACGTAGGAGCTGCCCCCTGGTGGTCAGTGTGCTCTCACAGGGGGAGCACCACTCAGCCAGAAGCTCTGAGCCAGGCTCACGGCTGGTGAGTGCAGTGGCGATGGAGGGAGCCCTCCCACCTCCATGGCAGCACTAAGGATGTCCGACTGCCGGCTTAGGCCTGCTCCCCGCGGGGGAACGGGCCTAAGCTGACAGTCAGACATCCCCTGATGGCTCCTGGACTGTGAGAGCGTGCAGGCCGGCCTGAGGGGATCTCTCCTCCCCCTGCCCCCGCCGAGTGCATGAATTTTATGCACTGGGCCTCTAGTAGAGAATAAAGCAGGGGTAAGCAGGCCCTCACAGAAGCAGCAGTTCAGTTCCAAATGATCTCAATCTATAAAATTGAAGTGATTTTGGATTGCTAATGCCATCAGGAGCCTGCAAAAAGGAAATGTAATCCTACCTGAAGGAAGACATTGTTATCAGAAAACTCAAAGTACTTCTATAGACAATTCTGCAAATACATGTCTGATAAACAAAAATTAGCATGCATTTATGAAAATAAAGCCACAAAAACCAGCAAGAGATAACAGAAACAGGCCCAGAGGTTCAGACTTCTAACTTTTTAGAGAGAGTTTAACTGAAATTAAGAACCTAATGGCGTTAAGAACCAACTATAAAATGTGTAAAAAAAAATTCTGGTGAAAGAAAAAACTGAAAAGCCAGAGAAGTCATAGACTATGAGAAGTTACTATGCAATAAAACTGGAGTCCCAGAAATAGAGGAGAGAGCAAAAGTAGCAGAAATATTTGAAGATATAATGGTTTAGAACTTTAGAAATATAGCAAAAGTACTAAAATCCAAAGACAAAGAAAAATATTTTAGAAAGCTGGAAGTCAGACTGCATTCAAGGGAGAAACAGAATGAAAATTGACTTCAATAACAACAAAAGGCAAAGCATAATTTTTTTAAGTGCTAAAAGAACTCTAAATTGAAATTCTATACCCAGCAAAAGTCTTCAAGAAAGAAAAGTAATATAAATACATCTTCAGATGCATAAAACTTAAGAAAATTCATCATTAGCATACCCAGTGTAAAGGAAATGCAAAAGGTTTAGATGAAAGAAAAATTGTCTTGGATAAAGACAAAGATGATGCTGAAAAGATATAGAACAAAAATCTATAATAATAAAAGTGTAATGTGCTAATTAGACTGGACAGCCGAACGACCTTCAGGACATCTTTCCAGATGAAGCCAGGGCTGCAAGGGCTGAGGCAAGCCGCTGCAGCTGTGAGGGCTGAGGCAAGCCACCTCAGATGCAAGGGCTAAGCCCCTTGCACAATTTTGCGCATTGGGCCTCTAGTAGTAAATATGAACATGGTACAGACAATAAAAATAATATGCTATGGGTTTAATATATAAAAAAAAATAAAGTACATTTTAACAATGGTATACATGTCAAAAGAGGGGTTAAAGGTGTTAAAGAATTTCAAGCTTCTAGTACTGGCTGAGAAGAGGGTGGAAATAACAAATAGTTACTTTGATAAACAGACTTTCATAAAGCAAGACTACATGTACAAAAGGATAATTACTAAAAGAATATAAGAAGAGTGTAGAGCTTTCCAGAGCTGAAAAAAATGGTACATTAAATATTACTCTATCATTTCAAAGGAAAGTTCTAACAAATAGAAATTTAGAATAAGCAGGACATTTAGAAAGCAAATCACAAGATGGTAGATTTAAAGCCAACTATCAACAAATTCATCAAGCACATTAACTAAAATATAAAAACTGATAAACAAAACAAAAAAGCAAAACCCAATTAAGTGCTGTTTCTAGGAGACATGTTTGAAATAAATATAAAGGTTTATTGTGAAAGAATTGGAAAAAAGATAAACATGAAAACACTAGACAAAAGACAAATAGCACAGCTAGCTATGTTAATATTAAAATAAACTTAAGTTAAATATTACTAGAATAAGGGTATCTTATAATAAAAAGATGTAGAACTCTGAAATATATAGATGTAAGAATATAATTTCAATAAAAGAAAGCAAAAATTGACAGAATAAAACAGGATAACAAGCGATAGGCAGAACACCCACTCCCCCTAAAGATGTCCAAGGCCTAGCCCCTGAAACTTGTGCATATGTTACATTGCATGGCAAAAGGGATTTTGCAGATGTAAATAACATTATGGAATTTTAAATTCTTCTTTTAGTATAAAACAAATCCCTTAATTTTTCAAGTGTTTTAGAAAATAATTTTATATTTAAGTATTAAAAATAAACACAAAAATTTACCATTTACATTTTTTAACCCACAACGCAAGCATCCACTCTGTGCACAGCAGTATTTTAGGGGCAATAAAAGGGATTCTTAACCTTAGAAACATGACTTCACTTTCTGAAGTTGGATCATCACCTTTTCCAGATGTTTTAAATAGGGAGAATACCCGCCCTAGCCGGTTTGGCTCAGTATATAAGAGTGTGTAGGTCTATGCCCTAACCGGTTTGGCTCAGTGGATAGAGCGTCAGCCTGCGGACTCAAGGGTCCCAGGTTCGATTCTGGTCAAGGGCATGTACCTTGGTTGCGGGCACATCCCCATTGGGGGGTGTGCAGGAGGCCGCTGATCGATGTTTCTCTCTCATTGATGTTTCTAACTCTCTATCCCTCTCCCTTCCTCTCTGTAAAAAATCAATAAAATATATTAAAAAAATAAAAATAAAAAAAGAGTGTGTAGGTCTATGGACTGAAGGGTCCCGGGTTCGATTCTGGGCAAGGGCTTGTGCCTGGGTTGTGGGCTCGATCTCCTGTAGAGGGCGTGCCGATCAATGATTCTCTCTTATCAATGTTTCTCTCTCTCCTCCCTTCCTTTCTGAAATCAATAAAAAATATATTTTAAAAAAAGAATTGCATTTATTTTAAAAAAACAAAACAGGGGGATTACCAGAGATCAGAAAATCACTGTCCTAGATTATCCAGTGGGCTCAATCTAATAATATGAGTGTTTAAAGCAGAGGACTTTCTCTGACTGTAAGCTACTGCTTACATGAGTCAAAAGGGAAGGTCAGAAAGATTCAAAGCAGGAAAAAATGATTTGACCTGTTGTTCTAGGCTAGGGGATGAAGTGATATAGAGGGCCACGTGCCAGGGAAAATGAGTGACCCCTTGGAACTTAGAATGATCCCTGGTCAACAGCCAAATATAAAACATGGATCTCAGCCCTACAGTCACATAAAACTGAATTCCAACTACCTGAATAAGCCTAGCAGTACATTCCCCCCTAGATCCTCCAAATAAGGGACTCAGCGGGCTCACAACTTGATTTTGGCTGTGTGAAACTCTAGGCATTTTAACCTATTGAACCTGTTGGACTTCTGGCCTACAGAACTCTGAGGTAATATAGTTGATACTAGAGGCCTGGTGCATGAAATTCATGCATGGGGGTGGGGGGGTGTGGGGGGTGGAGGCATCAGCCCGGCCTGTACCCTTTAACAATCTGGGATTGCAGTGGATAGGGCCTAAACCAGCAGTCGACATCCCTCTTGCAATCTGGGACTGCTGGCTCCTAACCGCTCGCCTGCCTACCTGCCTGATCACCCTAACCACTCTGCCTGCCTGCCTCATTGCCCCTAACCACTCTACCTGTTTGCCTCATTGCCCCTACCTGCTCTCCCCTGCCTGCCTCATTGACCCTAACCGCCTTTGCCTCGGCCCCCGCCATCGTGGCTTTGTCCGGCAGATGTCAGTCTAATTAGCATATTACCCTTTTATTAGTGTGGATGTTCATGCCAATTTGTTAGGGTAGCAATAGAAAACTGATACGAAATAGAAAAATCCACAAAAATAGAGGAAATTTTAATAGGTTCCCTCAGTATTTGATAGAACATAAATTAAAACATAAGTCATTAAGAATAAGATTTGAAGAACACAAAAAATTTGACCGGATTTTATAAACAATTGCAACTAACGCCTACAGAATATATATTTCTTAAAAGCATACTTGGAATACTTACATAAGCTAACTGGGCATAGAACAAGTATCCATCAACTTCAACAGATTAAAATCATACAAAATATTTTCTGTAAATATAATTCTATGAGGTTAGAAATCAATAACTCCAAAATAGGCTAGAATTTGCCACATGGATCAAAGAAGAAATTATAACAGAAATCCAAAAATATTTTTAACTAAATAATAATGAAAAATATTATGTATCAAAACTTTTGAAGTGAAAACTGTTTAAAAATGTTCCATGCATACTCATGAAGTAGATTGTAAGTGATCTTCCAACAGAAAAAGAGTAAATTTTACACTATTAGATCTTAAGAACAGCTTATTATGCATTAAAGAATGTGATATTCTTGCCCTAACTGGTTTGGCTCAGTGGATAGAGCGTCGGCCTGTGGACTGTGGGGTCCCAGGTTCGATTCCGGCCAAGGGCATGTACCTTGGTTGTGGGCACATTCCCAGTAGGGAGTGTGCAGGAGGCAGCTGACTGATGTTTCTCTCTCACCGATGTTTCTAACTCTCTATCCCTCTCCCTTCCTCTCTGTAAAAAAATCAATAAAATATATTTAAAAAAAAAGAATGTGATATAATCATAATCTTTAGTCCTTAATAGATATTAAATTTTAAAGAAAGAAGTAAAATTAGTACATCAAAAATGGGTAAAATAACTTAAAGGTTTTATTGTTGGAGATAGTTAGGATATCAAGCATACTTGCTCTTGGATCTATGAGAGATACTGGTTCATTGAAACCATTCTGAAGCTCATCTTCCCATTAATTCTCACAAAATAGCCAAAACTATTAAAAAATTAACTGTTCTGTAGATTGATATATTAAGGAGGCTGCTACATTTTACAAATGTTATTATTTATTCAATAAAATAAAAGCCATACTTACAACAAGAAGTAGTCTGAACTGGTGCAAGTTGTGGAAAGGTCATAAACATAGAAACCCCTGGTAGATCGCTCTGCTTGTCAGGTTCAGTAGTTTGGTCAGCCCAAACAACCACTTTTTTCCTCTCCACCAAATGTTCAATCTCTTTGAAGTCAGACTCAAAGGCAGCATTTGACAGGCCAGCTTCTTTTAATGAACAGTACTGTTTTCTCAGGGTTGGAAGTAAAGCATTCAATACTCTATATACGAAAGGTGACAAAGAAGGAGAGATAAATACTAAATTTTAAATACACTTTATAGTTCTATTTAACATCCAAAGTATTAGCAGGTCATTTAAATGATTCCCTGTATATATGTTCTTTTTAGAATATTTCAGCCAATTACCTCAACATATTCTTAATACTTTAAGTACAGAGTAGAAGGAATCTTGGATCTGAATTACAAGCACCGGGCTGTACTCTTAGTCTTCATTTGCTTCCATATGATCTTGGATAAGGCACAACTGTGGGTTTTCCTTTATTACTTGGGGATCAATTGGACAGCCATTACTTATAATAGTTTGAGGAAATAGTTTTGAGAACCAAATGAATTAAATATATATAAATGCTTTTTGCAAAGCACTATGTGATTCACAAACCAAAGATATTGTAAGTTATTAAACATCATGGGATTAAAATGAAAAATTAATATATTCTGTCAAATGATGAGACTCATTTTAGGTATATAACATTTAAAAAGGAAAACAAAAAAACAGAACTCAATTTTCCTTTCAGTTAGCTCTTCATGAGTTAAGGCAATGACTTCCAAAGCTATTCCAAGGGGATTCAAGGAAATAAGTTGTGGACAAGAATGGTGGGTACGGGGAAATTGATGGGACACAACAGATTCCTGGCTCTGATTCAAAGTCTTCCCTATTGTTGTTAATCAGAGCAGCACTGAATGCATCTTTTTATGTATTAGACGTCCACGTAAGTGCTGACTGAATAAATGCCACAGCTAAATAGTTATAAATTTATACACTCAATCAATGGTTCCTAACTTTTAAATCAAGGAAGATGTCATCAAAAAACATGAGTAATCTTGAAATGATTCAGTCCTGGTATTGACGTATAACATCCAGGAGAATAAAACTGTTGGAAGTATAAATAGGTCAGTGGGAAAAGAATAGGCATTAATTTTAACACAAGGAAGTAATTGCTTTATTACTTAGGAGCCTTAAATATTTAGATAGTAGTACAAATAAATAGTCTGTGATACTTTTCATTTTGGTGAGGATGGGGAGTACTTCATTTAAGTCAATTGGTAACTATGGGAAAGTCAATAAAAACATTTATTGAATACCTATACCAATTAGGCACAGTGCAGATAAGTTACCTGTTATTCTTAGAAAGGCTTGCTAGCAAGGTTGGCCTGTAGCTGGCACCTTGAACATTGGATTTTGACAGGGTTCTCATCATTTTCAGAATTGATAAGAGTGTCTCACTGTGCTTAAACAGTTTGTACAAACAATGTGGCTCCTGCTGAACAATTGCTTTCCTTCTGGGAAGTCTGTTTTTGGAACATACTAAGTACAGGGTGCCCAGAGATGGTCATAAGGAACCACAACCTATGATACATATATGATACATAAGCCCAGCACGCAAAATCGCGTGGCCCCGCCCACCCGCACTGAGCCTCTCCGTGCTCGAAGCCCCGCCGACCTGCGCCGGTCTTTGGTCATTATGGCCTTAGGGCCACAGGTCTTTTATAATATAGATATCTATGTACACATTCATTTATTATTATTTTTATTTGATGCAGTAGGTCCTCGGGTTACGTCGGAGATCTATTTCTACAGCGTGACGTAATGCGATTTTCGCTGTAAGTCGGAACACACCTACATAAGGACCTACATCACTCACATACACAGCAGTAATGAAGTGAAACAGTAAAAAAAATTTTAAAGAAAGATAACAATTCCTGACCTTTACTTGTGGTAATAATAAAAAACATAAAGCACATATACATACGTCGAAATGATGGAAACTTTTTTTTTATAAATAAATGGGAGATGGCGGCGTAACCACAAAATGATGTACGTTGAGTCCGACGTAACCCGAGGACTATCTGTATATGTATATATTGTGAAATGATCACCACAATAAGTCTAGTTAACATTCATCACCTCAAGTAGTTACCGAATTTATTTTTTCCTTGGGATGAGAACTTTTAAGATCTCTTTCAGTAACTTTCAAATATGCAATACAGTAATATTAACTAAAGTCGTCACGCTGTATATTACATTATTTCATACCTAGAAGTTTGTACTTTTTGACTCACTTCACATCCTCAGCCCATGCCCCTACCTTCAGCCTCTGGCAACCATCAATCTGTACTCTTTATCAGTGAGCTTGAATTTTGTTTTGTTTTTCTAAGATTCTACATATGAGACCATATGGTGTTTGTCTCTTCCTGTCTGAGTTATTACACTTAGAAAACTAAGGCTTATGGGGAAGAGTCAATAGGGGAAAAAGGGAATATCTGTAATACTTTCAACAATAAAGATAAATTAAAAAAATAATCTAGGCAAGGTTATATTGCTAATGTAAGCTAGAATTCAAGACCAATTCAAAAACTCTAACTTTTTCTACTATAACATTCTGCCTGTTTATAATGCTTTGGTCACTTAACTTTTAAACATGTAAGAATTAGAAATCTTTTTGTACATTTTGAGGCAAAAGTTTATGTTAAGTGTACTAATCTCTTTGTCTTATATAGCAAATACAGTATGGTTAAAATAAATTAATGTGTTGCCCTGGCTGGGTGGCTTAATATATCAAAAAGTTGCAGGTTTGATTCTGGGTCAGGGCACATACCTAGGTTATGGGGTGAAACCTGGTTGGGGCACATGTGGGAAGCAACCCATTGATGTTTCTGTTTTTCACTCTCTCTCCTTCCTCTAAAACAGTGGTTCTCAACCTGTGGGTTGCGACCCTTTCACAGGGGTTGCCTAAGACCATCCTGCATATCAGATATTTACATTACGATTCATAACAGTAGCAACATTACAGTTATGAAGCAGCAACGAAAATAATTTTATGGTTGGGTCACAACAGGAGGAACTGTATTTAAAGGGCCAGAAGGTTGAGAACCACTGCAACAAAAACAAAAACATATCGTCTAGTGAGGATTAAAACATAGTAATAAATAAATTAATTAATGCTTGTTTTATAATTAGCTCTTGGAGGTAGATTAAGTGTTGGTTAATAAGTGTTTAATGTTTGCTTAAAGTCAGATATACACAGCATGGGGAGATTAGGTTGAGCTTGTATTCACAGAAGAACATCTCCATAAAGTTTTTCCTTTCTCTTTTCTTCTTTTTAAAAATAACTATCTTACTATGATTTCTCTTAAATCATAAGTATAAAAAGTTAATTTCCAGTTATTTGAGAAAACAACTAGAACTCCAGCAGGAAGCCCTAAGAGAAGTAAATTTCTCATTTTTCTAGAGCATGAAAGTGACACCTAACCAACATATCCAAAGTAAAAAAAATAAAGATTGTTATACTTTTTTACTATAATGTTATTATAGACTCAAATGATGTTACTAGTGAGCTAGTAGAGAGAGCATGTCAGATATACTGTACCATCACATAACTGGATACTTGATGTAAAATATATACACTTTTAGTAACTTCATTTTAATGATAGCACAATATTATTCTAGAGTTAAAAATGCTTAAAAACTGCCTACTTAAATATTTACTTAGCATTAATAGTGAGTGCCTCTAAATGGGAAATGGATAGCTAGTAGACAGGTAGAGACAGATTCCTTTTCACAATATAGGTATCCTTTTCAATAGCACATGGCATATGTTACATAAAATAATTAATTAAAAATGCTTTCAAAACTATCAAAAATTAGTTGGAGAAGAATCACATCTTTTATACTTTCTCAGTGCTTCCTAACTGTGTATGCTTTCTGATGCTGACAGACACTTAAAAATAATGTATCCTGTACCAGATAAAACTCAGTTTTCTAGCTTGGAAAAGTGAACTTCTATGTTTCAGGTTCCTTAGGTCTATAGAATAGGTCAATACATATACTCACGCCTCAGTCTGCCTATGTTGCTGTTCCTGAAGACAAGCGAGATCCATCACATGTTTAATTTGTGCTTTCAAATCGTTGTTCTGGAGGTGCAAATGATGACAATAAAGATCTTTATTGAGTTCCTAGGGAAAACAATGTAAAGTATACATCAGATTTCTTTAACAATGTAAAAGTTGAATCAATTTTAATAAAATTTTTATATTGATGTTGATGTGTTAATTTTTTAAATGCTTTTTAAAAATTAATTTCAGAGAAAGAGGTAGGAAGGAATGGTAGGAGGGAGGAAGGAGGAAGAAGAGGAAGGAGAGAGAGAGAGAGAGAGAGAGAAAAGGAAGGAAGGAAGGAAGGAAGGAAGGAAGGAAGGAAGGAAGGAAGGAAGGAAGGAAGGAAGGAAGGAAGGAAGGAAGGAAGGAAGGAAGGAAGGAAGGAAGGAAGGAAGGAAGGAAGGAAGGAAGGAAGGAAGGAAGGAAGGAAGGAAGGAAGGAAGGAAGGAAGGAAGGAAGGAAGGAAGGAAGGAAGGAAGGAAGGAAGGAAGGAAGGAAGGAAGGAAGGAAGGAAGGAAGGAAGGAAGGAAGGAAGGAAGGAAGGAAGGAAGGAAGGAAGGAAGGAAGGAAGGAAGGAAGGAAGGAAGGAAGGAAGGAAGGAAGGAAGGAAGGAAGGAAGGAAGGAAGGAAGGAAGGAAGGAAGGAAGGAAGGAAGGAAGGAAGGAAGGAAGGAAGGAAGGAAGGAAGGAAGGAAGGAAGGAAGGAAGGAAGGAAGGAAGGAAGGAAGGAAGGAAGGAAGGAAGGAAGGAAGGAAGGAAGGAAGGAAGGAAGGAAGGAAGGAAGGAAGGAAGGAAGGAAGGAAGGAAGGAAGGAAGGAAGGAAGGAAGGAAGGAAGGAAGGAAGGAAGGAAGGAAGGAAGGAAGGAAGGAAGGAAGGAAGGAAGGAAGGAAGGAAGGAAGGAAGGAAGGAAGGAAGGAAGGAAGGAAGGAAGGAAGGAAGGAAGGAAGGAAGGAAGGAAGGAAGGAAGGAAGGAAGGAAGGAAGGAAGGAAGGAAGGAAGGAAGGAAGGAAGGAAGGAAGGAAGGAAGGAAGGAAGGAAGGAAGGAAGGAAGGAAGGAAGGAAGGAAGGAAGGAAGGAAGGAAGGAAGGAAGGAAGGAAGGAAGGAAGGAAGGAAGGAAGGAAGGAAGGAAGGAAGGAAGGAAGGAAGGAAGGAAGGAAGGAAGGAAGGAAGGAAGGAAGGAAGGAAGGAAGGAAGGGAGGGAGGGAGGGAGGAAGGAAGGAAGGGAGGAAGAAGGAGAGACACATCGATGTGAGACAGAGAGACATCTATTGACTGCCTCCCGGGCTGAGGATGAAATCCAAAACCTGCATATATGCCCTGACCGGTAATGGAACCCACCACCCCTTGGTGTAAGGGATGATTCTCCAACCAACTAATCCACACCAGCCAGGGCTAACAGATTTAATTTTTTTATCCTTGGAAACAGTTTGAAAAATAAGCATTCTGGTATAGGTATCTATAACTTATAAGATAAATTGCAAGTTTCCTCAGAAACAAGTCAGAAACTCACAACCAATTTTATTATGGTCACAGTTTTTTAGTTTATACAACTTGTTCATTAGACTGAAAATACATGACTACGACCAGTTTTTGCTTAAATGTCACTTTTTTATGGAGGCTTTCCTTGAGCATTGTATTGAAAGATGGATACCCTCCATCCCCAATAGTCTTTGTTATAGCATTGATCAGTGACTGCTCATATAGTTTCTGTCTATACTAGACTTTAAGGTTGAACGCCAGAACAGGGGGCTGTGTTAACCTAGTTCAGTGTTACTGCCCCAGTTCACAGTTGCATGTCATAACAATTTCTTGCTTTAACCGGATCTTGGTATAAGCATCATCCTACAGCAAAAATGTGAAAAATTCTTCTGTAGGTTCCCATTTTCCTAAGCTTCACGTGTGTAGGCCCAGGTGTTATCTAACCTACCCCCTAAAACTAGTTATCTTTCCTCAGGCTTACTAAATCTCCATTATGAAAAATGTCAGCTAAGTGGTTACATTGAAATACTGGTAAAAATACAATAGCATTTTAAAAATCTTTAATTGGGAAAATTTTAGTCAACAGAGTGAAAAGAATTAAGGGGCTGAGACAACAATCCCATAAAGTAAAGGAGCTGTGCTTGGAGACATCCTCCTGGGGACAACTCCCATAATCCATTTCAGCTTTTCAATATTCCTCCCAATCTGCAAGTGACCATTAATTCTCTAAAAGCTTAAAGTTGTTTTTCTTTTCCTTTAAAACAAATACTTTATATGCCTGTAGTAGGCACCATGGCAGAAAAACAATGTCATTTAGTGTGTCCTAGATATATTAAAGTTGGGGCTTATTTACATGACTCATAATTATATTTGAAGAAAGACAACCAATATTTTAGAGAAAACTCTCTTTAGGAGTCAGTTATGATATGGTTAGAGTACTGGTGATTTTAGAGATGGGCTCAGCCATAGCACAAATGCAACCTTAAGCTAAAATTAAGGTCTTTATGGAGATGAATTTATCTGACTAAGATTAAGAGCTTGACTACATGATATTTTTAGTGTTTTCCAGTTAGAAAATTCAATGATCCTGACAGTGCAAACATATTTGCTAAATACTCCATCTTTTCTCGTTAACAACAAAAAAATCCCTTCTTAAATGCTTCCCCTGTTAATCTTAATCCTTTATTGTTTTAAATACTCTTCTTTTAAAAAGGCAAGCCTTGATTATATAATTATATTAGTCAATAATGGACCTTGGCTAGCCTGTCATCTTTGAAAAACCAAGTTTACAACTTGAATCTTTTTTTGTCTTCATATACACTAATGATTAAAAGAGCATTGCCTATTCGAAGAACTATAAGTAGGTTAGTAATGGCTGAAGTGAAAAATATAATGAGAGGTGATGTATAAAAGTTGAGGTATTCAGGTGTCATGCTAGGCCTAAGAAATCATAATAGAGAGATTATATTAGAAAGAAAAGCACTGAACAGTGTGATATGATCAGAGTTACATTTTACAAAGCTCATTTCAGTTGCAGTAGAGAGAATGAATTGCAGTGCAATATGAATGAAGGCAGAAAAGACCAAATGTGGAAGCAGGAATCTGATTTAGGGTAGAAGCAGTGGGAGACAGAGAGAAGTAAATAGTTTTGAGAAGTGAAGAGGTAAATAATGCAAGAGGGTACAGAAAAAAGAGTACGAATTTGAAAGTCATAGTAATAGGTCTGTGTCCAGAGTTGTATGACTGTGGATAAGTCCTTTTACAAAGTTATATCTCTGTTTTCTTACATCTACACTAATAAAAGACAAAGATGCTAATTGGTTGTACCTTTGCTACACCCTAAGCCACACCCACCAGCCAATCAGAGCGACTATATACAAATTAACCCAACGAAGATGGCGGCCGGCAGCCAGGGAGCTGGAGCAAGTAGGAGGCTTGGTTGCCCAGGCGATGGAGGAAGCCAAGCTTCCTGCCTGCCCTGAGCTGGCTGTGGCCTCCGCTCATGGCAACAAAGTTTCAATTATAGAAGATAAATAAATCCCAGATACCTGCTTCCAGCCAGCCTCCACTGGGAGCT